ACTGCTTACGATGACTTATCCCAGGTTTCAGAATCTTTTTATTCTACATATAGACACTTTAGGGACCTGGAGCATAATTCTCACATCGACATCAGCAGAAAACGGGAATCGTACCGAGTTGAGCACATACTGTACCTACATCCCCTTCAATTCAATCAAGCTGCTCCCAATTTCTCATATATATCTGACTGATTTCATTCTTCAAGATGCACACATTATTCTCAGGTAAAACAATAAAAATTAAAATAAAAACCTCTGTAATAGTTTAGTGATATCAAAGAGGGTAGAAATTTCATAGTGTCTTCCTCTGGCTGTAACACAGAAGCGTTGTGTGCCTTTAGGCCACGATGGCCTTTACGTCTTCTTATGTGTTGAAATCTCAAGGTCGCTTTAAAAGCATAAGTAGAACACCAGCAGTCAGGCAGCTTGGAGAGCACCACACATCAGGCTGAATTAAAAAAAAGAGGCTAACTGAGAAGAAGTACAACTGAACGACCTATATGCAGGTAAGCAAGCAATGGCAGCTTGTTATCAATAGATAGCTGATTTATTCAGAGCTTAGCTGAAATAAACCCTCCTGTTTTTAGAACCACGTAACATAACGTATGCTGAGACTTGGCAGCAACTTACTGCCTTTCTAGTCAGAAACTGAGTGGAGAGACACAAGTTAAGTGTATTATATATTTGATGATAACAACAACCCTCTCACAGTATCCTGTATGAGCACAGTTCCTATCTTGTACACCTGTGAATCTGCACTCTTGTGTTACATAAAAGTAAAACAGCAGGAGTGACTGCAAGACTCTGCCATAAACCAATTACAATATGTTTCCTCTGAAAGAGTCTGAAAACAGAGCAGTGAGGACGGTCATCGACATGGAGTTCATGGAGTTTAAAGGCTTTGCGACTGCTAAATAAATGGAAGAGATGTCATGTGGAAACACAAACCAGATACACGTACTTAAATTATACAGACTGAGTAGAACAAAGAACTGGAGTGAAATAGAATAGAATAGAGTAGAACAGGTTTGACAGCCTGTTAAGCCCTGTTAGGGTTTTATTGAATAGGAATGCTATAAGACATTGTATTTTTTATAACTCAAGTTTGTAAAAATGTTTGATGAGAAAGAATCTAACTTCTTGTTATAGTATAATTTAGAAAATAAGCTCAAGCAGCAACAAATGAAAAAGGTAAATGATTACGTCCAAACCAACGACTGCAACAAAATAAAAATAAAAATTCACTATGATCAAAAGAGTTCAGTTCTTTTATCAAGTCAAAGGGTCCTTGTGAAGCATATGTCATATTATAGGGGCCTGAATAATTGTGTGTGTATTTTGGAAGATACATATCCTGGTCTACCAAAACAAAGAGAGTAGCTCAGTCCATCAAAGAGAGATAATATGTTGATGATAATGGTTGCGTGCATTTACATTTGATTCAATTCTGAACACGGAATTCAGGATAAGTACCCAACTGTACTTATTTCAGTACTTGTGCTCTCTCTAATATCAGAAAATGTAATTTCACCTCTCGAGATTTGAAAAAAAACAGGTACAGTAGGTGGCGCTATGCACCTTAAAATTGTTTGCGATCCACCAGTAAACCGAAATACGTTGACTGCAGGTGTGCTGCTAATGTTAGCTGCAGCCGCTGCAGGGGACTTGGCTTTCAGGCTTTCAAATTCAGTGCTCTCATCAAGTTTTGCCATGGCCAGGTTTGCATTTCACATTACAAATACTTCACACAGTGTTGTCTCCGTTAAATTCTGAAAAGTGTGACCACACTTGAGAACGCTTTTGGCTCACCATTGCCTCCAATTACCAACACTGTAGCTTGATGCACACCTTCCCTGAAATGTAGTGTTGCTTGCTACAGATGCAGTAGTGCACAATTTAAAATGTGTAGGCCACATGCGGAGGTTCTACTCGCTTTCTCACCCAGATAATTGAACTTGATTTAACATGAATCCGTGTTCGGTTGTACTGATGTTATGCCTTGTCACTTGAGGAACTTGCACTGTTGTAAGACAAGCATACCGTATATAATAAGAATACCAAACCAGATGAATAGGCTCATAGATTGAAAAGCCAGCCACATTCTATATGGTGCTGGACTGGATCATGTCATATCTAAAACTCATTAACATTACAGAAGAGACTGGAGAATGAATTGTTCACTGCACTCATCCTAACTCATCTGTAAGTCATCATTCCAGCAAGGCATTTTACCCATGGAGAAATAACTTGATGTGTACTGTACCAGACAAAGACATTTCACAGGACAAACAGAAAAGCCCAAAATTGTTAACAAAAGTCATAAAACTGTCGAATCTCCATGCACATACATTAGAACATGTATTGATATCATACCATGTGACTTCCACTTACCAAGGATATCATTACCGCTGTCCGTTGCATCCTTCACCAATGACCATCACTTCAGACATGCCTGAGACGTTCACATACAGGTTTTCTTTTGTCATGTCAGCTGACACAAATTCTTCTGCTGGAAAAAACATACAAACTCACTTTAAAATACACACATGTACGTTCATCTCAGCAGTATTTAAATGACAAGAGAACTAATAATGTTACAGAAAGTCAGGTATTGTCATTACAATCTTATCAGCGTCAAAGGTTGACTTACAGCTACACATTTTGGAATTAATTTTGGAAAATCCTAAATAAAGTGCATGCAAATCCCTGAGCAGTGCAGGTAATGTTAAAAACAGTCCACCTCTTTTGGCAGGATGTGGCATTCTTCTAAACGTGCCTCCCTTCCAACTCATGGCAGCTGGCTACAGGGAATCTAACAATGCATAAGATTAAATAAGGTTTTCAATGCAATCATTCTTTCAGGCTGTTCAAAAGACTGAGACTGCTGGTGTTGCTTGAACCTAATGTACAGAAAAGAAAGAAATCTTTAAACTGCCTTCCTCACAAATCCATTTGCTTGTTGTTTGTTAGTTAGTCCTTCATTTTCTTATGTATGTACTTTTTCAGTTGGTGGCCATGATCAATGAGTGGGGTGCATGGCAGAAGTATAATGGGTGTTACTACTGCTTAGGACTGTTACAGACATTAACAAACTGCCATATCTGGTGACAACATGCTAAAACGATAAGTTATTGAAATTATTATTATCATTATAAATATTGAATATAAATCCTGTAAAAAAAAAAAAAGAGCGATGTTCAAAAGAGCTGTAAATCCCACAAACACAACTAGAAATGAACTAGTAGTGGCATATCCAGGACCTAAGCTGTTGGCTGTAAGGAATGTTTGAGTTTGATTGATTATTGGTTAACTGGAAAAGTCATATATCCACATGTTGTTTCTGGCCTGGATTGGCACGTGTTTCATTAAGTTATTGTGATTTGAATTGTTGTCACATGTACAGCACAGTTTCCAGCCTCTTTCTTTCACTGCAGCCATTATTCAGACTCTATATCACTCACATGCTTATCTAAATCATGAGGACAGTTCAGACTGCGGTCACATGGCCACTCATCAGTTACATGTGAGATTATTCTGAGGGTATTTTTATGTAACATCACTCAGGGCATGTCTGTGTCACACTGAGAGAGCTCAAACCGTTGGCACTGAATGTCAGCAAAAGCAACCCATACCTTCCTCTTTTACTCTGATTTGTATTTAGTTTAGAGGGAGGCAATTTTGATGGGCAACATACTCTGGTCATAATGTCATATTTAACTAGTAATGGATGACCAATTATGAAATATTCTTTTTTAATTAAAAGGATAAACTCAAAGGCAGACATTCATCTCTGAATTGTGATCAAATTCAGCTGCACTGTTCCTTCAAAGTTAGAAATAGACAGTTTTATGACAGAACATCTGGCTTTTCACATCTTACAGCTTCTAGTCATTTAAAAAAAAGATGATTCCATGCAGGAAAAAGCAATTGAGGCAGTACCTGAACTCCCGGTGGTAGCAGAGAGAAGGTCAGAGCAGGGCCATATCAAAGCCTTAGTCTGGTTCAGAAATCAAAACGAATGTGAACAGTTAAGTCGTTAATAGTTTCCTGTTTAAAGAGGTCTCCAGAACAACCACAGTTTGCATAAATACAGTATAAACCTAAGATTGACAGATTGAAGAAGTTACCCTTAATAAACCTGACTAAAATGATTAAGGTTCTATTTCCAATGCAACTTTGTTTGCAGTTTTAATGAAGAGCATGTGTGTTTTTTCCAGAACATTCCTCATAACAAACAATCCCACTTTTATTATACCTCAAACGCGAGACTCATGGCAAGCATTTTTAGAAAATGAAAAAATAATGAAAAAGCTCAAGAATGCTCAACTCGATTCGATTTAATCCACGACTGACTTGAGAATTTTCCCAGGTGTCTTAACATATTATTTGGTTTAAGACAGTTCTGAGTGGATATCAATATCAGGAACAACCAAAACAAATAGTATTTTTGTTTTAATCATTATTATTTAAACATTGCAATTCTAACTTTACAACCACTTGTGGGTATTTGAGAATTAACATGGGACAACCTTAATTCAGTTGGCAACTTTCCCTGAATGATCACCAACAGAAAATTGATTCTCTGATGTTTCCTCAGGGCACAACAATCTGCCATGCTGAACTGAAACAGCAAACCTGAGATCATCCTTTCTGCCAGACAGAACGTTTGGACAATTCTGTCATGGATTTTGTTAATTGACAATGTTTCTTCCAATTAGGTTGGGCAACTAAACATCGGTGTGTGTTTCAGAGATTGTTTTTCCTTTGAGAACATTGTCAGCATCTGACAGAGAGCCGCAGCACTGAGGCAGGCTTTTCCCTCCCTCTAGCCTTCACCTGGATACAGCTCCTGCCCCAACAATGCTGGCTCTATTCCGTCTCTTGGGGGTTATGGATTAGTATATTTAACATATTGGAGCATTGCTATAGAACAAGGGGCCTTTTCCTTGTTGAAGAAACCCCAGATCAAGAAGGTGACAGGACCCAAAAGACAAGAAGTGTTTGTGTTTCAATAGATCAAAATGATCTACTTAGGTTTATTTAGCATAGAAGGCAAATATAAAGTCTTACAATATATGAAAGATTAAATATCAATGTATGTGAAGCACAAAAAAATAAAAAGAAGAAAGTGATTTGTGCTTAAATCCTCATAGCTATTCTCCCTCAGATTCTTCAGTCCTCTGCATAAACTTCCTCTGAGATTTACCTCAGATCCTCGCTCTCAGGGTTACGTCTCCTTTATAAGGCTGGAACTGAGAGGAGGGCTTCACTATTCCTTTCTTATCAGCAACCCATACATGGTATATATTTGAACAATCTCAGCAGTTGATTGGTTTAGACCCAAAAGTATGTTTGTGGTTATATGAAACATGCATTCAGTGAACCTGACGGTGGATCATACAAAGAAGTTCTTACATGCGATGTACATATGATCCTGCATAAACAAAATCCTGATTTTTTTTCTGAGAACTTACCCAGACCTCTGTTCTGAGAACAGGGCCTCACAGAGTGGCAGCTGGAAAGTACCACTGTTGTCACCACTGATAACCTCTATCTGCAAGCAGTATATTAACAACAGACTTCAACAGTACATAACACATATGCAACAATTTAAATATCACTCGAAAATGTCACTTGAGTTTATGGATTTCCTTCTCTTCCTTCCTCTGAAGCCTCTCTTTTGGAAGAAGCATTGGCAGAACGCACTCTTGACCTGTGCTCTCTCCTAACATGGGACACCTTTCTGACATTACAATGTGCTACACAACCAGGCTACATCATACCACTACACTTTTTCATTGATCCATGTCCACATTTTGGTTTCATATATGATATAATCCCCGTCCATACTAAAACGCCTAAAAACATATCATGTGATCACCCACGAACACTGGGCATGCACATGCCAGAGTAAACAGGAAGAAATGCGCTTTCTACTGGACACAGTAATAGTCGCAAAGTGTTTGAATAGTAGCCCCTGTCCTTCACATGTAAGCAGTTGTATTATTGTAAAAATGTAGAATTCAACTGTTGTGTCTACATCATAGTTTCCAAATGTCTCAGTTTCTTGCCATCCAGAATGAAACGCAGCCGCTGACTTTTCAAAACAAAATGGGGCCAGCAGCTTTTTTAAATTTCGTTGCTTAGTGGCTCCAAGTAATGTGGATGCCAGGCTTATTATAGCACAATTGATGTGTTTCAAAAATAAAACAGAAGTATGGACGGGTAGCCCCAGTCACATCACCTGAAACTCTACACGCAGCATTTTCTTATGATTAGAGGGAAGAAAGTCCAACATTAACTGTTTTACTGCGGCTGCAAACTCTTCTTTACTCCCTTCATGAATCCAAAATACTTCCTGCATTGGCAGTGAACAATGCCACAGACGATGATCATAATTCCTTGAGACACTCTACAGCTTGAATCAACGTGATAAACTTTTCCAGATTGCTGCCATCCTGGTAGCACCAGTGCAGTGGTATAAAGTTGCATTCGAATCTGTAGATTATCAGTGTTTACTGGATATCTACATGTTGTGTCATGTTGTAAGAGTGGTGTTAAGATATGCTGGCATCATTCAGGACAAATAGAGGCTAAAGATACAGATACAGGTAAAACCAACATTGAGTGTCATAGTTACGTTGGCTGCCATGGCACTCTACTGGGGCGATGAACACCATTCTCCCAAAAGATATTCCCTCATTTTGTGTTTAAATGATGGTGGGGATAGAGATGTCTGACACATTAGTCGAAAATTTCCCATTCGGTCACGTCATTCCACAACCCCTAGTTATTGCTATTATATTTCTCCATATATATCCATGTCCTTCCTTCTTTCTGAGACTGAAGGTGAATCACATGTGGCTCTATTTCTGGAGAAGTCTTCATTAGTCAGAATTGCTCAACTTCCAACAACCCACGGTCTCTTGCCTGAGGTTTTCATTATTATGATTTTCTTGTGCAGTTGGTTGATTGAAGAATTGATTGACGTCCAATCATTAAAAGACATTAGATAAATACGATGAAACCATTAATGGACAGCAAGATACACTATTTTTTGCTTGACTGGGTTCTATACCACAGAGGACTGTTGATTAGCATGGTCACATATATAATTCTATATACACCATCTTATTATACACCTTAATTGTACATATCGGTATTGTACAAAAATAAAATTTATAGTCTATTTATACTTAAACACATATATATGCAAGCCTTCACAAGATTCAGCTTAGTTGAGTTTTGTGTATTTTTGCATCCACTTTTCCATCCATCCTTAAATCTCATGGAAAGGCTAAACCAGTTCAGCTCCATTCACAAGGGAACCACCTTATTACCAAAATAATTTGCAATCACATGTAATTTATTTTTTTAATAATGCTGAGCTACTGGGGGTGACGGCTCGCTGACACGGAAAGGCAGGCTATATATTGGCCCTGTGGAGTAAACACTTTAGTAAAATGTGTTTTGTGTGATGTTTTAACAATACTGGTTGAGCTGGTGGAGTCACCTGTCAGCAGCTCATGAATTTGCCTCAACATCCACGTGGCACAAACATGTGTGAGCAACACGCTCTTCCAAAGTCTTTTTACTGCCGACACAAATTGGCCGCTTAAACCATCTTCTTGTGACAGGTCAATGTAAAACATCATCCGCACCAGCCAGACAGAGGCAGAGAGAGCTCTCTGTTAGCCTCCCTGCTCACTTTCAGTTTTTGTGCGAGCAGCTCTTGCGGCTATTCATCCATCAATCTGACGACGAGTCACTGAGCGCACTACAAACACATGTCTGTCAGCAGAAATGCAGGTTCAAATGCTGTTTGTCCGTTTCCTTGCTGGGCCGGTTCGCAGAGTCGCTCTCCTCTTGTGTATTTTTTGCGCTTCTAGGTGTCGCCTCTGCTGCCTGCCAGAAAAAATATAAATAAACATTACATAATAATAATATAGTAGTGAACACCTATGGTCACATCTAATCAGGTGAGGCTCAATTAGCCATCATTCACAACAAGTTTATTGATATCTAGCGGTGAAGTTGCATGTTGCAGCTGAACACCCCTCACCTCGCCCTCCTCTTCCAAACATGAAAAAGAAACAGTGGTAGCTTCAGTTGTCATAAAAACTCAAAAGGTTTTAGTTTGTCCAGTTTGTTCTACTGTAAAAAAACATGGTGGCCTCCACACAGAGGATCAGCTCCTGATGTAAATACTGAAATATAAAGTATTTAAATATAAAGGGCTGATTCTAGGGTAAAGAAGATAACAATTTGCAGAAATTAGATAATTACACAATTGTGAAAACATCACAAGGATTTTTTATATTCCCTTTTGTTTTGGATCCCTTTCACCTAAATCTTACACACTAAGCCTTTAATGACCTCTGTGAACCAGAGGATATATACACGTGGATATATATATATATAAATATATATATATAGCATATGTATGTAAACTACAGCCACTTATATATATATAAAATAGCATATGTATGTATACTAAAGGCACTAATCTTTCATCAGCAATAGATATTCCTGTTCCTGTTGTTGGCTGCGCTGAATTAGAACACATTTCACATACTCCTGGGAATTGTTGGCAATCATTGCATTTGTTCTTTTCCTGTGGCACAGTTACCTGTTCGTGCAGAAGCTGCTGCAGTCAGAGTCGTTCCGCCGTGCGCACACGCAGCGCTGGGCCTCTGCGTCCCTCCTCCTCCTCCTCTGCTGATCAGTGCCAGCGGAGCGCTTCATACGCAGCGAACCCTGGTAACTGGACATACCATACGGGACAGTGTGCCTACAAAAAGATACATTCACATGTGCTGAGTGATCATTAGACTTCAAGGTTTTGTAAGCAGACCTGAACTAATGAAATCTGTAGTCTATTGTAAACCAAGTCAATAAGACTGTGGCTCACAAAGAGCTTTTTTTTCTCCTTGTAAAATATTCAAAAGACATTTTAAAAGGCTGTACCTGGTGCTGGACTGAATTATACTGAGAGGTGTTTCTAGTTTTTGGACCTTCACCATTTGGATACAAGATGGGTGAAGACCAGCTTATAGGAAACACATTTCAGTGTAATGGAGTCCAGTAAAACACCATCAAAGGCTGCAGCCTCAAAAATATCCATACTTAACCTCTGTGAAAAGTCAAAATTGAACATGATGATTGTTTACAGAACTGCTGCTGGATCCAATAGGCAGTAAACATACAACCTAGTAAACCCATAAGTCTGTTTATCTTAACATCAGTACATGAGCAGATATAAACTAAGCAAATCAACACCCCGAAGCTCCCTTTGGCAGATGACAGGAAATGAAAAAGTACATTTAAAGATTCTTTTTGTTTGTGTATGAACATTAGGGGCAGTATATTTCAGTGTTGCTGTCTTTAAATCATAAAGGCAAAACACAAACAGTAAAATGTGTTGCTTCAGCTCTTGAGAGTTGATCCTGCTGGAATCCCATGATCTCACCTTATACATGGTGTGCACACATGCTTTATTTTGAACTAAACTGTTGGAACTTAAAGGGGCATTCCAACGATTTTACGCATCGACTTATTACAATTTACCTACACAACCTGGTTACATTTTGGGGCTTAGTGGCACAGGAGGGATCATCACTTTGCTAGACTTTGTTTACATTTCAGAAGAATGTGGTTGAGGTCTACTTTATGAATTTCTCACTTCTCCTCCACCTCCCAACGCAGGTGATGGAGGGGAGAGCGCTTCTAACATGCGACAGATGCAATAATACAAAATACTAAAATAAAACAAGTATCTTACAAAAAATGTAGAAAAACAGAGGAAGATGTCACGATAGTTTGTTGCGATAAGAGCCTTCATAGGTGTCTGTATGTTGTCAAGAAAATCACGTGATCTCTGCAGCTAATACATTATTTCCTGCATCTGCCCGCTGCACCTTTCAACTAAATAATCCAGAGGATTTGTTGCTGTTGTGAGCGCATCAGTGCAGAAAACCTCAAGCTGTCTTGTGCATGTGTGAAAGGCAAATTGCGGGTAAAGTCCATTCCCAATTCTCCAGATTTTACGTGCAAGTCATGTCACCGACTCAAATGCAGCAGGCAGCTGTTTTATCTTAGAATAAGCCAACTACAGCCTACACTAGCAGACCAACTAGCTGGGGAACTCAGTGGAATATTTAGTGGCCAAAAAGTGACATTTCCCTCAGGAGCTGCAGAGCTAAGAGTTAATATTAGAATCAAATCCAACAGATCCAAATGAGTGCTACTGTTGCTTTGTGTCTGTTGTGTATTTACAGTCTATAGTCTGCTAACGTGCAATTTAGGCTCCATTACGCTTGCAGGTATCTTCTTTACTCACTTTGTTGGCACATCACAATGTTTTTCTCATTTCTTCTGCCAACTGTCAATTGGTGGATGTGAAAATACTGTGAAAATATTGGTAGGGTTTCACAGTAAGCCTGTGCAGGGGCATGTAAAGTATATTTCCTTGTGTATATGCATCATACCAACAAAAGAGGGATGCACACGCACAAAAAAACTTCTGCTTCCAAGAACTGCCAGTGACCAAAATACCTTGCATGCACAGGGTTATGTTACAGGCTTGAGATGCTTTAAATCTGTTTCAGCTTCACTTCGTGACAGTTTGGTAAGAAGGATCAGGATTCATTTATTAAAATCTTTCAAAGAACAACTCTAACCCAACAATAACCCATCTTTTATGAGAAGAAGTTTCTTCTCCTGTCGCGGCTATTCCCTGAACTACTCATATATCTGCATCACAGAAGTGACTCATCTTATACAGACAGTGCTTCACAAGGCTCAATGCCAAGCCATTTTTCATCCAGGTTCAGGTTCACTTAACTTTCTTCCAAGTTTGCTAAAGACGTTATGCTGTTTTGTTCATTCTGCACCATCAGTGATGTGATTTAAAACACATTTAAAGTTTCACTTATTTTCCATGATTTCACAGTTTGACTGAGCCCCCCCCCAAAAATGCACTGATCTGCCACAATATTCCAGTTGACTGATGTAATATTGTGGATGACTTGACTATGGCATATGTCCGAAGTGCAAACCTGAAACCAGTTACTTCTTTCTGTGCACCGAGGGTGTTGAACACAGCAAAACTGAACCCGTTTCAATTCATTGTCTTCTAGAGCAGCATCAATCACATTTTAGAATGTGTGATCACCAGCTGCTGAAACACCACACATTTGAAAACACGTCTGCATCTGAACCTGATGAATGATCTTCACCTTGTAACTTAGGATGGAGGTTTAATTTTGACAAACTTGCATAGCTTTCATGATTTCTTACTGCAAGGATTTTCCACAGTAGCAGTAATGAAAATGGGTGCAAGTTGAATTTGTGAAAAACCTGTAACATTTCCTTTTTTTTTTGTACAGATCGGTTTTTTTTTAAAGAAGCATGACAACCTGAGAAGTCGAGAGGTCGACTACGGTAACAGCTGCAGCTTTGAAGCACTCCGCTGAGAGGGATTAAACCTCGGGTAATTAATTTTAGTCACACTAAATCATTTCACCTTTTCACACACATGATCCCATGAGAACTGTCAATCACTACAGCTGTTCCCCGAGTTATGTCCCCTTGAAATTTAAGCTTCTTTCTGACTGGCTGTCGAGATGATTTATCCACATATTGTTATTGTGTGATAAATGATTGTGTGTTTTTGTTATTGTATGACTTTGTGGACTCCTATCTGGAAAACAAAAAGTTTCTATCTCCAAAGTCAAACTTTCTTGGTTCTATAGAGTTCTACTTGTGAAGGGGGTTAGGGGTTTGAATGCACACAAGAGGTATATTCAGGTTCTTCATTTTTGTCATGTTGCCACACCGCTCAGTGACTGCAGCTTAAATGGCAGTGAGGACACAGAACTGAAGATGAGAAAATGTCATGCAACCCGGGGCTAATGAGAGGGCTGTCTCTCTGAACTTAAACTAATGGCCCGTATTTAAATCTGACCTCTGCACTGCATGCAAACATGGATCACCTTGAAAAATAACCCACAATGTTCATTTCTATGACAAAATATGATGTGCCCTAAAACAGGAAATACTTATCTTTCATTAATTTTAAAATTCAACTATTCCCAATGAGGAGAGAGTGTGTGCGGCAGCATGTGGCGGCTGAAAATACCAAAAAAAAAAGCTGCACCCAGCATCTTTTTTCAGAACCAGTGCATCTGGTTGAAAATCCCTGAAGACAGAAATCCACAAGTGTTTTCACTATAGCTGTTTGTTGCATAATTAATCAGATGAGGTGAGACTCGTCACCCTGGTAAAAAAATTGTTCTGGCTGTGTCTTAGCATATCAAACGCAGACACTCACATAACTGTGTAGTCAACACAACAAGACAACAACACAATTCTTTGGGCTGTGGCTCAGACTTAGTGGCGGCAGGCTCATCCATACAAAGTACGAGGCCAAGCGTCCTCTGGCTGGTGCTCATGGTGAACAAAACAATGTGAAATAGTGATCAACAGCGAAGGGACAAGTTGGCATATTAAACAACGATAGTGGTGATTTCTTGTTGTCATAGGAACAAAACTCACACGCAGCACTTTTTTGTTGGACGATGGGATGAAGCGTCCCCCCCCCCCGCGCCCTGCCAGTGCTTTTATGCTAGAGAGAAACATCGTAGACACACGCCCTGAGGATTACAAGGTTCTATCTGTTCTACAACATTTTTTTTTTCACAATTTTGAGCGGATTCTTTGATATTGTACATTGAGGATAAATAGTTTTATATATGTCATAGTTCATATATTACACACACTTTTGTTTTGAATTGCAAAAACTCAATATCTGAAATCTGCTCCGAAGGGCAGAACCCCAAATCCCAAATTATATTTTTGAAAATGAAGCTGTAATCCCAAAGGAAAATAATTGCGTTTGAGCCCATGTGGTTACAAAAATGTCCATTCCAATCACTAATGTAACTTCAAATACTAATATTAAGTATGGAATTATATCAGAAATGTGAGAATTCAAAGTGAACAGGAACAACTGGAGAGCATGGACTGTATGTGCTGTACTGCTCACATAGTGTACGAGGCCCCACCTGTAACAAGTACATTCAACAAAAAAATTGCCTGATTTGACTTCAATCTACACAGGCGCTGCCAAACAAGACAGACCATTAGCAATTCATATCTGGAAAACATTAGCACACCGAGCGACTTCAGAGGAAAGACCTTCCGGCGGCAGCTTGATTCACTCCACACAGTATAAATCCTGCGTACAAAAGGAAGATAAATCTAGAAGGCTGCATGCAGCCAATTTTGAAACTTCATCTGTAAGGTGTTACTGCAGAAAAACAGGGGCCTCTTGCAGTGCAAAAGCTTTGATCTTATTGCACTGATCCTGTTGGACAAATATTATAATCTGTATAAGTTGTTAAAGAGCAAATCCGCGCCAACACGCAAACGTGTCTTCTGTGCCGGAAACATATGTGAATGGTTTCAATTTATTGATTGACTCTACACTCAATTTTTACATTTTTCAAATAAAGTTCTGAATGTGCTTGTAGAAGAGATCCGCTGCACTTCTCTCTGCAGGCTGGAAACCGTGCCACTCAAAAGCTTTGTAACCAAAGGACTGATAAAAGATGGATGATCTCATATCGCCTCCACCTCCCGACTCTCAAAGCCATGGCCCAAACCAACACACAACTCTCATATTCGTGTCTGAGAAAAAGGCACACCAAATTAAACCAGAGCCGCCCTGAAGCCCATTGTTTGGACTCAATAAACCAGTAGAATTAACTGCACCTATCTTCCCCGTGCTTCAGACATTTGGCGTCAGCTTATACAGGTGATTATCTTACAATTTTGTCTTTTTCACGCCAGATACCAACACATTACTTTCCAGCCTGGCACCAGTCAAATGTAATATTTTGATGTTTTCACACTTGCTGATTGGAAAGCTGATTGGAAATAACAGCAAGTACAGGAAGACAAAAAAGAATGTTGAACGAGTGAATAACAGATGAAGGAAAATAGTGGTGTTGGCAAGTCGAACCCTCTATTATTCTATAAGATATTAGCTTTGGTAAAATATTATGAAGAGCCATTGCTGTTATCTTGTTTCAATTTAAAACTGGCAGCAACAAGAATTGTGTGGATTTCAGACTCTTCTACATGAATTTCAAAGCCTCAGTAACAACCAGGTTCTATAACAACCAGGTGGACCCCTCCCTGCTGCCTGTTGCGCATTGTCAGATTCTTCGTGGAATTGAAATACCTGAGAGGTCAGGGTTCTGAACTCAGATTACATCAGGTTTTCACAGTTCACAAAGCCACAGGAAATACTGACGTCTGATGAGACAACGCCTGGTGTGTTTGGCGGCTCCCTTTGCCACAAATCCTTTCATGGATTAAAAAATGAAGAGAACACTTTGTTTTCTACATAACTCACATATTTGTGTCTCCTGCAGTTCACCTGTACTCATGAGATTATAGCTCCAGCACACACAACATGCAAATCAGATTCTCGGCACGAAGGTCTGTCTTAAGACCAAGAGTAGTGATTACAGTGAACAAATGAGTGCTCATGACGAGACACTACACCGATCAGCCATTAGAACTGATAACTGCTTGCACTGTTGGGGAATTTGTGATGTATATGTTGACTTAGTCAAACCATGAAGTCTGAGAAAACAAGTGAAATCATAAAGTAAGTTTTAATCTTGTGGCAGAACTGGTACTGAGGTAAGTACATAGATCAAGTACTCATGCCCTGTATCACAGCAATGTCTCTGTAAACTCATCAGCAGCACAAACACATTCTAGGTGTCTGTGGGCTCAGCAAAGTACCCATTAAAAAAGTGAAGATGTTAGGTCAGAAGGACTCTTACTCTGGCGTGTTGATCCAGATGATGTCCAGGTGGCAGTAATACACACACTCCTTGTCTTTGTAGGTGTAACATGTGCACCTCTTCGCCCGTCTCTTGGGCCTGGGCGGCTCAAAGGCAGGACACGGCTTCACCTCACCCGGAGAGGGAACTCTGGCGAGGTCGTCCACACCACCGGGAACGAGCTCGTCCAGCTTGGCCGCCTCCACCTGCTCCCTCGGGCTCACATCTTTGCTCGATGAAGAACCTGCAGGGGCATGGCAATGGGACATGCACAAGCTTTTCAAGTTATGACCAAACATAAACAACAACAACAACAATAGTAATAATAATCATAATAACAATACTTATTTGTATTATAATTTTTGCTATAATAATAGCAATAATAATAATAATAATAAGTAGTATTATTGGTAGCAATGTTATTGTAATTATTACATTTGGTATTAATGTTGTTACTATGATAATAATAATGACTTTGAATAGATACAAATTGATTGATTGATTATTAGAGGTGATCTTAAGTCTGTGAATGTAAATTCAATTTATGTAAACCATTAGTTCACCAGTTCCAGAATCAGAATCGTGTTTATTGCCAGGTAGGTTTACACATACATGGAATTTGCTGTGGTGTGTTTGTGCGAATATAAATATAGAAAATAGAAAACATAAAAAATAGAAAACAAAAAATGTAATAGAAAAGTAAAATAGAAAGTACTATAGGCAAGCAGGAGGGATTGTGCAAAAGTTGAATGACAATTAATTATGTGTTGCAATTTTAAATATGGATTCATTATTTTTTGTAATTTAAACATGTCACAACTATATAACAATCAATTACAAATTGCTGGATGCATAAATAAAGTAAATATTAATAAATTTGCCGATAATAGTCATTTGCAGCACAAATGAAATGAACGTATTAACATATAGACATGCAATGACAGTTTTCATTGCACAATGCCCACTATTGACTAACACCTGTTTTCGTCATCACATTTTCTTTCAGCGACTCATAAAATCTTGTGGTATCATAAATAACACAAGTTGTCTCTTTATTTATCGTTGAATGCCTCCTCAGTAAAAAAGACCACCCACTAGTTTAACAGTAGCTGCTACTCACCGTTTGCCAAAGATGCTGTCACCACGATGAGGAACAAAACTCCCACATCAAATGATGAAACATTAGCCATCACACACAAAGCATAAGAAATTAAAAATGTTTAAAAAAAATGAAATTCACAAACAGGAGCGATAAAACCTCCTAAAGTCCAGAGTGTCTTCTTCAGTTGATCTCAGTGCAGTGAAAGTCCCGATGGAGACGTCACATGTGTGATTCCACTGATACCTGCTGACAGAAGTATCACTGCTGCACTGCTACCACTCAGCTTTTACTCCCCTCACTCAAACTCTGCTTCATTATAAACTGATCTCAGTGACAAGTCAACTGTAACACACAGCATGATTCCTGCTGCGCCGTTCAAAGTAAAAGTCCTATCATCAAGGCACTAGGGAGGAGTTTAGAATGAAGACTTACTAGATATATTCATTTTTGTCATGTTGCCCCCCAGTTCTCTATATTTATTGAAGCTATTATTTAGGTCAAATGTAAAAACTGCCCTTTTTTTGTTTATTTTATTGTTCTGTATAAAAACCAATTGTTAAAAAACAAAGCTCTCTGTTAAAATGAGTCCTAAACTTTAGCTTAGTTACAGCTCAGTCACAAACCACAGACCAAAACACAGTTTCAGGAGGTTCAACATCACTTTTACTTTCTCCACCTTAGTGAGATTGAAACAGTTTTTGTCTTGTGCCTGATTCAGCACTTATTTCCAAGAAGTACATGTCTGCTTATAACATTTTTGTAATCCTGAGACTACAGAATGATAAACCATTTATAATTTGGTTATTCATATGGAAATGGTTGTTTGATTTCCCTGTTAGGTTCATGTATGTGAAACACAATCATCTCTCAGAGCAATTTTCACGTATTCCTCCTTCTTCTGGGTTTTTATTTTGAAAGGGAAACCCTCCCACTTCTACTTTTGCTCAGCTTGTGTGTCTGGTTTGGATTTGAGGCTGCTGAACCTGCAGAGCACCACCCGCTGGATGCAGTGACTCAGTGATGCTAGAGGGCTGACGGCAGCAACACTTACAGGATGCAGTCAATGATAGTGGTTCCTGGGCTGTGGTTCAGGGATCTATAGGGTTCACACCCAAATGAAAAACAAGCCAGCATCATTGAAGTTAGTAAATCAAAAGGTCTTGAGAGGGCTGGACCTGGAGGATTGGCTTTTTTTTGTGTTTTTAAAAATAATGAACAAGAGACTGGAAGGTTAGTTAACCAACCATGGCAGAGCAAGCATCTATCACTGATGGCCCAAAAGGTCTCAGGTTCACAGTGTAATAAACCTTAACTCAGAGGTGGTTTTCACCCCTGTCCATTTCTTTGTTAGTTGGTTAATGTAAACACTACTAAACAGATTTCCATGAAAAGAATCCATTTATAGAGGGCAAAATTCATAGATCTTGAGGAAAGAAAAGTAAGCATAGTAAAACAACCGATATCTTTGAGTGTGTTGAGTTTGGTGCATATCTAAATAAAGTTCTAACTAATTTTAATGTGGATTCATGAGGGGACTGTGGGGACTTGGCGGAGGTATACACCACACTGAGTGCCCTTCTGGTTCGTAACAAAGCAAATTTTTTATTTTCATCATATTGTGAATATGGACACAATTATTCACAGTACACCCCCAAGGTTCAACAGCAGGTCCTAGTGTTATCTGGTTAAATAATAATATCTTTGTTAAAAGCTTTTGTGTTCATTGTCCTAATCAGCAGATGGTGTTGGCTCAGTTGTCATGGCGATGCCCCACCTTCACTTCCGTAATGAACTCTTAATTGTAAGAGCTTTTCTATTGCAGTTGATATTCTTCTTACTGTTCCTGCAGAATTTTGTGTTTAAAATGTGTTTTTTAACATGTGGGTATACTGGTTAGATTGTGGCTCCAGCAGAATTATGTTACCGTGTGTCTGCTCTGTGTTCTATAATGGGCGTGTGCTTGAATATGACGTTAAGCATTAAAACACACAGACAGGGGAAGAATGGGGGAACATTAGGGGCCCACATTTCATGTTTTGCTCCAGGGCCCCAGATTGGCTTAATCAAGCCATGTGTTATACAGTACATGTAGTAAACCACAAAGTCAACAGGAAGCTCAGCAAACCATACTGTTAGTTAATGAAAACAGAAACGTGACCTGAATATAGCTAAAGAGTTCTGACCGTTGACCGGTCAAATGATAGACGTTAGAAATCAAATCAGTCACGCGTTAGAATGCCTCACTTTGTGTAAATTACAAATTCCATACATATTCAGACACACACAAAGGTGTCGCCGAAAACGGAGACAGGAATGTTATTGAGGGAAACAAACACTAAGAGGTGGATATTAAATGAGTTTTGAGGTCTACCAGACTGGAAGTGGAAGGACTGAGTGACTGTGGGGGGGGTTTAGTTTACATATGTAACGCAGCTAGCGGAGCTGATTGTGGCACACCTGCAGGCAATCAGACACACTCACACACAGTCGTGTCTCCATGACTTCAGAGGACATTGCTTTGACTTACATTGATTTCATGGAGACGTACTCAAACATTAGTTATTACCTGCCCAACCCTAATTTAAATCTAAACCTGACCGTGAAACACGTCATTCATGGTTTACATTGTGGGGGGTTACTTTTTGTCTCCATGATGTGACAGTGTAAACGGATTTAGGTTCCTACAACATTGCCACACAGGTTTGCCAAGCTATCCTCATTAGGACCTGGCGTTGACTTCCATTCATTGTGTACAGCCTAACCCCAACCATATCCCTTACCCTTAACTTTTAGCTCCCCCCAAGGGAGCAATGGAGTGGGCAGAGAGGTATTGACTTCATCTTACAGAGGCCCCAAAGTGGAGAGAATGGAAATTTGATGTCCCAGGGGCATCTATAACTGAGAGTCTCAGAGGTTTACAGTTTCCAAAGGTCACCACGGGAAACATTGAGCTGATGAAAGATAGGTGACGTAGTGTAAGTTTATCTCTGAACATCATATCAAGAACATTTTACCGCAAAATCACATTCCAAAGATTCATTTGAGATATTGTTTGAAATGTATTCAAACTATTCATAACACATATATTCAAAACACTGGTATATCCCATCATGCATCTAAAGTGAGCATCACTGTCTTGAATCCCACTTGGTTCACAGCTTTTAACAGCATCATATCCTGGAGACAGTGTCACTGCCTCAGTCCCCTCTTTCCATCGTTTGCTGCTTTCATTGTATTTTTATGACTGTGTCAGTCAGTTTATGTTTCAAGACATTGTGAGGGAATTTTCTTATGAAATAGCCAAATAGATCTGACTCCAGAAGTGCCAACCGTAGCCCAACAAAGTTAGATAACTTTGGGAAATATGTGACTGTGCAGGGCTGAAGGGCTGTTAGATCATGCTGAGTGGTTCTTCAAATATATCACACGAGAGACCCTATGATAGAGACGTGTGATGCAATTTCATAATCAGCATGGCTAGTAGACAATCAGTGTGTTGGTCGCCGAACGTAGCATGGATCCTTGTTGAGGTAGATCGAATGTTATAAAATGTCACAAACACTGTGGTGTGGACGTCTTGTGATATAAAATCCTGAGATTGCCAAGCCCGGGAGGAAGAGTGAACATTTCCTTTCAAGTGACAGAGCTGTAATTTCAGCTGAGGTCAGAGGCGAACGAAGAGAATCAGATGTCCACTTTTATTGTTTGTATAAAGCTCTTTAACTACTATGCATTTTGTCATTATTCAAAAAAATAAATCACTGAGGGAAAACTCAGCTTCATGTCCCAGGCCCAGGATGAAATACTGTCAGTCTGTCTGTCTCTGAGTAACTGAGAGTAAAGAGAACCCAAATTGTTATTGTGTTATATGTGTTTTTATTTTACTGGCAGCCTCTCTGCAGAAGATGACCTCTTTTTGTATCTGTGCTTTGGAATACAGACTTGGAGTGAATGACAACTTAATAATCCAAACTGTCCCTTGTTAAATGTCGCTGTGGGAAATCAAGCTTAGAGATGTTCAAACAACACCTGATCTGGACCGACAGGTTATAACTGGACTGGGTGGATGGGTAATTAGTAGATTTTATCTTTTTAGCATTTGTTTTCTACTTTCAGCTGGAATCTTACTCTGGAGCCTGGTGCTATTTTGACAGAAAATACACAATCATAATGCAGTGCAGAGCTGTTTGGCTGTTACAAGTAACCTTGAAAAGCACTGAAAAGCATGGGCCCCAATTGAGGCCCCCATTCCATATAAATCCATAAATAATCTTACCAAAACACATTATGGAACAGGCCCGGTCTTCCCACCACTTATCAGTTGTTCTGTGGCTCTGTGACGTCATTAGTTCCTAGAACCTGAACCTGTGTGGTCTTGACCACAGCGATCCGGACAGGACCAGATTATAGGCCAGAATAAGGTCCCATTTACAGCTGCTTTAGATATTGAGGCAAACTGGGTATCATACTTATATAATGATAATAGTAATGCAGAGTTTAACCAAGGCTCACACAGACTCACTGATTACTAACTGTCATGGTATTCATCACAAGATTGGTCTTGCTTAGGTTTTGACACGATCGCTGTGTTAAGTGGAGAACCTTCAACTATTTAAAATGAGTCATATGACTCACTGAATGAAACCTACTTTTCAAAGCTCATCATCGATGACAACGAACTGCTGACTGCAGAGTAAATGCACATGTTGAGGGGTATTCACAAACAGCAGGAAGCCAAGTTCACAGGTGGCACAAGAGCATTAAACTGTTGATTTTCAAAGTCAGAAGCTGCACACAAATGCCCGGTGTGTGTATTGTGAAGCGTATCACAGATGATGTGGACACGTTGTGATAGACTAGTGTAGAGCTCATAGCAAACATGCCTGTTTGGACTGGGCTGATCTCTTGACCTGTATTAAAGCTCCAGCGCTACTTCAGAATTCTTCCTTGTCATTAGTGAGTCGTCCTCAAACATTTCTACAACACACTGTCACTTTGTATTGTTTGTGTGCTGGACATTGTGTGCAGAGTTTAAAGATACCTACAGTCAGTCAGACAGACAGGAAGGCAGAGGGTTTGTGGAATTAGTAGATAGATATTGTTGAGCTGTTATAACTTACTGAGGGTAACTTATCTGTTTGAAAAAATGAAACGTCTTCATGAAGTTTACTATTATTTTATGATATTAAATTTCAAAACCATTGTGATCTTTTCCATCAATTTTCCATGGAATTTTATCCATGAAGTAATGTAGCATGCACCAATATCATTGTGACTACCATTGCCGTG